CTTTTTCTTTAATAAATTCATGTTTTGGCGAATTTGATTGGTATCGGTAATCGGATCAATGGATCGCGGGCACGTCGAGGGCGCTAAATAAAAAAAGAAGCGCAACTTAAGAACGAAAAAGAAAGAAAAAGTGATAAACGATAGCCAATAATCATGATTTATACACGTTCTCATGATCGAGCAGCTACGTTTAAGCGGCCAAACGTTCGTGAACGTTGAGATGATTGATCAAACACGCGTCGCACTTCTCCAAAATCGTTCCGTCGTTGAATATATATATATATATATATATGTATATATAATGTAATGGTTTATATTTATATTTCGAAGATCAATCGCATCTCTCAAGAACAATCGTTAGAAAAAAAAGAAAACACGTATTTCGAGCGCAATGGGTTAGCATCCCGACCTCGAAGTGCATCTCGAAGGTGGCGAAGGTGCGAAGCCAGGAATGAATGTAGTTAATCAACGATACTTTGAAGGGCCTTGAAATGCGTGTATGCGTGTGCGTGTATATGTGAGTATATATGCGTGTAAGTGTACACGATGTGAGAAAATGGAAAAAAAGGAGTAACATGTATTGAGCGAAGAGATTTGCTCGGCTTAACTATCGCTTTATTTAGCAATTGTATTGTAAGTTTTCATCAACACTTTACGAGAAAAATTATTTCGACCGACAATAATACACGGATTCGACACACAATCCTTTCAATCTCGAAATAATTCCTGATTCCTCGTCCCCGGAAGAGAGAGAGAGAGAGAGAATGAAAGAGAGAAAGTGAATTAGAGGAAGAGAAAGAAGAGAGAGAGAGAGAGAGAGAAACAATCGAACAAGTGAATGTCGAAAAAAAAGAAAGATTTAAATTAAACGAAATTGAAAATTGATCCTTATTATTTAGAGATTAAAGAAGAATCGTGAATGTCGAATATAAATAAAGTTATTGCATAGAAATATCGGATTTGTTCGATTCGGCTGTCAGCACGAAGACGACGACGGCGTAGCTGAGAGCTACCGACTCATGCGAATGTGAGGGAGAAAGGTCTGGGTTTCGGGTTGAAAGATGGACCGGCTGAAAAAAGATAAGAAAAGAAAAAATTATGTCCGGGAATATGACTTTTAATCGAAATACCAATTCGATTCCCGATTTTGTATAAACCATATACCACCCTTTTCACTGGTATTATATATAACCGTATAAAATTCTCCTACCATAAAATACTATAATGTCGCGGGTGTGCAAGTAACGCGTAGAAAATTAAAAATTAAATAAAATAAAAAAAAAAGACAAACGTAAACGAGATAGCGATAGGAAAAACCAACACGTGCACAAAGTCTCGTTACGTAAACTACTCTCTCTCTATCGAAACAGGCTCATTTATTCAGGTCTATTTATTCGGGTCTCAATCGTCCCGGTTTCGTTTCGATCGAGTCTGCATCATCGCCATCTTCGTCATCATCATCATCATCGTCATCATCAATTGCTCCATGTACGATGTACGATTAAATATTTGAACAATCGTGTCATCGTGATGACGAGATAACGATCGAGATTCTTGTCTTCTTTCGAAGACACAAATATCGTCACAGCTCGCCAAAACTCGCCGTCGACGTCGCCGAGAACGTGAGTTCGACGATACTCGAGAGCTCGTAAGAGAGAGAGAAGATCGTGTTGTTATTTCGATATATTATTTCCAACGATCGATCGATCGATCATCGAATCGAACGAACGAAGATGCGAATGGAGAGCGAGAACGAGAGAGAGAGAGAGAGAGAGAAGAAAAAACATGATGCGAGGGACGTAAGCCAAATGGGGCATATTAGCCAAAGCTAGAAAACTCGGTCAAAAGGATCTGATCTTCGTACGCCTAGTTGTGAAGGGCGTAGGTAATTTTTCTTTGTTGTTCGTCAATGGCGAGAAGAGACCTATTTGCAACAACAATCGAAGACAAAGTGAGGCCAAGGATAATAGGCGGGTTCGCCATTAGGATTACAACGCGATCGACCAGAGAGAGAGAGAGATAAAGAAAGAGAAAGAGAGAGAGAGAGAGATCGTTCCTCCAGATATGCCAAACGAGAAAGTCGAGCTTGTCATCGGTAATTTATACGACCGCAATTTCCGCTTTTGTTTCCTCCTAGGATTCCGGGTTGACATGCCTGTGGCGTGCTTGTCGTAATTATCGTTAGAATGCTCGCGACGCGACGCGGAATTTCATGCACGTAACCGCAGTTGGGGCGAAAAGCAGAGGTACTCTAAAATCGTGCTTCTACGAAGGACGAAGGAATTCTTTTTTCTCTTTATTTTTCTTTTCTTCTTCTTCTTCTTCTTCTTCTTCTCTGTAGCGTGTTCGTTGTTCTAAATTTTTTTTTTCTTTTTACCAATTTTATTATACCAAGAGAGAAAACAGTGTTTTGTTGTTACATAAGAACGATGTTCAATTATGTAATGACAAGCCGTGGACGGAAGAACGATTTCACGCAAGCTTCTATGCATAATTTCTCGACGATTCTCGAAAGAGATTCACCTTCGTGGATGATTCGTGGAAACGAATCCGGCCGCGACGAATCGCGAATTGTGAAGGATGAACTTACTTACCGGTCACAGTCTGACTCTGGGGTCGTGGCAGAGTGCTACTTCCTGTGCTCGCCAGTGGAGGGGACGATATATTCGACGATCCAAACGGTTTAGGGCCAATTAAATTGTTCGACGTTGGAGCCTGCGTATATAGAAAATATTTTTTATTATTCGCTCGTTTCTTTTTTTTTTTTATAAATCGCGCGTAATAAGTACAATGACACGATGATCGACGATGTTAAAAAAAAAACGAAAATACTGATTAAATGATACGTTGCATTCCAACAACAAATGCTATGATAAATGTGCGCGTATGATTTCATTAGATAGTGAGAATTAAGGGAGGCGTCGTGACAAACAGCGTGAAAAAAATGCGGTGCAATGAACCAATGAACCAGCCAGCTCTGGACGAGTCGAAAGTTTGGATCGGAAACGATCAGAGCATCGATGATCATTTCTTCTTTCGCCACTGCCTTGACACCATGTTGCTTGGGAAAGACACTAAGGGAAAAAAAAAAAAAAAGAAAAGAAAA